AAATTAAAATAATTTCAACAAATAATTTCTACAAATTAGACATATTACAAATAAAGTTTTCTTTTATTATTAATTACTAATTATTATTATTAATTATTAATTACATCAAGAAAGTAATTAAATTATTTCTTTATATTTGAAAGTTTAAATTATATACAAACATTAACAATAAAGTAAGAAATAAAATCTTAAATAGTGTACTCTGCATACACACTTGTCAAAAACTGTTAAACGTTTACTGTCGTAATTTAAAAAATTATATTCGTCTAATTCTATAATAAACTTTCAATTTGAGAAACGAAGCTTATTATTCATTTGAATATACAATGATTGCAAAAATTATTCGTACACTGACTTTTGTGATTTGCGACCGATATTTGAACTATTTTAATTTTGTAAGAACAAATCGTACAGCAATAAACCCGAGCTCATTTTAAACCTTGAAGCCTCTACCTTCGCAATTCAAGTTTCATTTTGTCCCAACATACTTTAACCCCATATACGTAGCAGCTGGAAAACTGAATACATAAATTTCCATCAAAATCCTACAAACTGAAACGTTTCAAAAAAACGTTAAAAAATTTTTCTCATGAATAAATTTATCATGTAGTTGAAGACTGCGGATTTAACACTTGATATACTATACATATATATTTTTAATCGTCTTATAGAACAAAAACAAGGAACAAGTTCCGCCTTGTATAGCCTTCGCGTGCCTTGTATTACTTCGAAGTACATAGACGGTGAGTACATCTCTCGTCCAAAGGCACATAAAATGGCTAAAAAAATCACAGTTCAAAGTTTAAGGAGCCGTTGTAAAAAAGAGACTTCGATCTTCAAATCGATACTAGGATCAGTCGCGATAAAAATTTTACAATGCATTTACAGACGTTTGAATCCGTCGTGTTTTCACGAAAAGGCATGTCCCCAGTTTTTCATCTGTCCTGCTGCGTAGAAACAAATCGCGAGAAAACGAACGACACCGTGCCAAAGTAGAAACTTCAAGCTTCAAAACGAGTCCGAGTTTATTGTTGTACGACGATCTTTTACGAAATTATAACAGTTCGAACGTGGACAATTTGTCGAAAATCGGTGCACTTTTTGGTGCCACTGTACCGCGTGCTCTTTCGTTTGCTATACTCGACGATACGTGTACCACGCGCAAAGTCTACTTTTTCGTGATCCGGACGAGCAAAAGAAACCTGATGGAACCGCACAGTTTTTACGGCCCTGGCGACCGTCTGCTCCCCCTCTTAGCTCGAACCCATCCCACTCGCGTCTTTCGGTATAAACGTATCATCAGTGCCGCTGAATCTGTCGTGCAAATCGGTCAATGAAAATTGTTCTGTTCCCGTTACTGTGCTCTCCTTACTGTTGCATCACGCATTGTGAGTATAGCAAAAGCGAATTTTTTCTCGTTAACTACACAATTCTAACATTATCTTCCGGTTACGATGTGACCAACGTGCTGTCATTTAGAATATTCTTAATGAACGATAAGTTGTTAACAATAAAGGAGGTTCAAGCTCTCGTGTAAATTGATTTTGCAATTATTTTACAGTCGCGTACCTGAGTTTAGAATTAATCGAATCATTGTAAATATTGACTGACGTGACATAGAATGCTACGACGTGTACCGGGTGTCCGTGCTGAAAACATCGTAGTTCCCAATGGCGGGAAAATTATTTGAAATATTGGTCTGATATCGAGCATAAAAGTACAAATTGTGAGGAATTATTCAATTATGTATATTGTCCTTTTCTTAGGTATTGTGCGTTTTGTAAATCTGTGTTTTTTTAAACAGTTATTTATCTATTGATTTGTTGATTGTAGGACGCGCAAATTGGAAAATGTCGGAATATTTAAGTTTCTATTAGCAGAACGAGATTTTTAAATCATCATTGTAACAATTTTGAATATTATCGCTGCTAATAAAGTGCCAGAACAAATTCCAAAAAATTATTTACTAACCTACGTCACCTTTTTAATCGTTTTCTGCTTATGCTGACTAAAGTGTGCTATTTCTCCGAAATTCATTAAGTAATTCCTAAAACGCTGTAATAGGATATGTTATATACAGGGTGTCCAATTTAATTTAATCCTCTATCTCCTCGTTGCTATTGTCAACAACAAAATTTAATTCACAATGGCAATGATTTTAACTGTTGTAACCTGTACAAAAGTGTTGATATCAACTGCGGGAAAACAAAATTATCTTATGAGTCACGCGGTTGGCCGCTCTCGACATCACCGATTATTTGACATTTATCTGCAAGATAATGAAAAACATTATTTGAACGATTACTCGGGCCTAGAAGAATTTTAAAATGTAGTAAAATGATCATAATATTTATAAATAACATTCGTAAAATGATCAAACATTATAAAGTCCTAATAAATAATTCTAATAAATTCTAATAAATTATTTGTATTATTTTTACAATCGCAGGACCGATAAAGTTGAAATACGATATCCTTTTCGAAAATAAATTTTTCGAACATTCAGGGAAACGGAGAAAAATGTTTAAGAACGCTTTTAAATTCTTATTCATTCGTCTATTGGTTATTGAGAAACAAAATATACGTTAGACAGTGCAATAAATTAGGTGTATTCAGCTATGGACGTCACTTCTGGCATTTATATTATAATCAGTATGTTCACATTCCGTAGTAATTTTGTTTTGAAATTTCATCACTTTTTTATTGCCACGGTTACAGCTGGATCATACTTTCAGCATACTTAAAAAAATAGTTGTACCTGATATTTTCGTATAACTAAATATTCGTAGCTTTGAAATCGTTCGAAAAAAAATAACGAGTAAAAATTTGTCATTTTTTTGCATATAATTTATATAAATTATAATAAATTATATTATAATAAATTACAATGAAGGTATAAAATAATATTTTCTATTTTTGCACTGTTAATATTAAATGTATTATATTTTGTATATTGAATAAAGTACAAAGTCGGAGGAACATTTTTGTTAAACAAATTACGAAAATTATGTAATATCAATGTCAGATAATTCTGAAGAATAATTGTCTGAATTGTTATTAGCACAAATCGATCAAAATGTTATGAACTTCGTGATTTATAAGAATATCGATCAATCGTTTGTAAGAATACCGATTCTGACATATACGACAACATTACCACAAGGTTCAAAAGTCGAACAAAGTCTAACTCAGCTGATAAATCTAACGGAGACTTTTTTTTGCAGCGGATGAATCATGAATTACGCTTTTAATCTTGCAACCAGTTGAGTACTATGTTACAGTTAAATGTCAAACGATATTTATTTACATGATTTCATATTACGTGTTAATTGCACGTCTGGATATAGTTTAACAAAAACTGTGGAATTTTTTATTTATTTATCAGTGCAGCACGTAACGTTTTTATCGCTACACGCTTGACAACGCGAAACGCTTGTTTAATTATTATTACAGCCATTCATGTCACATGTCACGTTATGACAAGTGTTAGATTTCTACTTTATCGACGTTTAGTTTCTGTTTTTGTCACGCTACTTAAATTTCTGTGTTATATCTTTGCTTTTTGCAAATTTATAATGAAGAAATGCATCATAAAATATTTATGGTTACATTAATTAAATGTTTTCCATCGTGAAAAATTTAGGTATTCATATTAATTGAATCTCATTCATCGTTAAAAATTTATATTCATATTATGTTATTATATATCTTCCATCATTTACAATTAATAGTTCCTTTTCTATAATATTTGATGTTAATAAATATTTTGAAAAAATGATATTAAATTTGAAAGTTATTCAAATTATTATTCAAATTAAAAAATTAAATCGATATTTCGATTAAGTATTACCATTTTTATTATTTTCATTTTTGTTGTTTACATCTATATTTCAATATAAAACATTTAAATTAATTATTTCTACATTAATTGTTTTGAGTTTTATTGTACTCATGCTACTTTGTATATCTAATAAGTCACAATGGCATTAATTTAAATAAGAAATAGAAATTTAAGCTCAAATTCAATTTATATGTACCAATCACATCAAAATGATAACATTTACACTGCAAACGATTTATCGCGTTATCGAAAGAGAAAAATAATTCTAATTCGTTGACTGTTAGCCGTCGTACATCAGGAAGCTAGCCGGGAATCACGATAGAGCCACGTTTATGTAATTATTCAAGGTACAAAGATCCTCCGGTCAGTCGTTTCCCTATTTCAACGTCTGCTGACAATCGGTTGTTTGAATTTCTTGCAAACTGCGAACCGGAGATCAACGTACTTAAATTTTGTTACGTGATCACTGCTTGAATATTGATTTTAATTTGCATATTTTTTTCGTTCGCTGTGAATGTATACCTTGGCCATAAATACTGGGAAACCGTCATTTTACTTAACTATTTCTACAATTTAAACGTCAAGAACGTGTGTTTTTCTCTATGAAAATATTATAGATATATGGAGAACATAAACATAAAAATGTAAATTAGTAATTATAAATATTGTTTGTTTTTTTCAATAAATTGTATTAGAAATAATTTTATTCTCTGTGCCATGGATTCCATTATATTAATAAAAATGTGTAGGGGTAAACTTTATTAATATTCAATTTTAATGTTCATAAATTTGATTTTTTGTAATTATTTGTAAATGAACGCAAATAATTAACTGAAAAATTGTTAACATTAATCATATCTTTTGTTAAATATTCAAAGAATATGTATGTATTTGTGTTCATATTTTGTAAAATTGTTTGAAAATTCTTCAGGTTATCTGCACATTTTGTCTAATATTAGAAAGATTATCCTGGTTAACTTTATTTTTTATAAAATTTGTTTGTAAAATTAGTTCAAGTTTAAGTATAGATTTAAAAAAAATTATCCTCTTCAACTTTATCTGTCATACAGTCTTTGCTATCTTCATGCTGCGTAAGTTTTTCAAAAAATTATTGCAAACAAAATAACCCAGTACTTATGACCAGACTGCAGATTTTATGTATTTGCTAAGAATGAATGGGTAAAATTAAAACAACAACCAAATTAAGACAATATCAAAACATCTTTTTTTAACTCTCTAAAATTATTTACAAAAAGGAGAAGTTATATAGTTTTTATTTATTCTGCATAAAAATCTTCAGTCTATTTTTGACGTATTTATTTAGCATGTGTAAGTATGTTCAGAGGAAAATATTGCTCCTTCCAATAACAACATGTTAATTTCCAGGAAAAATGGCGGAAGCCAAGCCAACGAACACCGCCGCAGGCGAATCCGCGCCTCATCTCGAAGTGATCGACCGCGTGAAAAACATTCCCGTGATCCACTCGGCGATCGAGAAAACGGGGTCCACGTACTCCTACTTGAAGGACTCCAATCATTTAATTCATTGGGCTCTGTCTCAAGCCGAGGCTGGTCTGAGTTATGCGACTGCGACTGCCGCGCCGATCACTGCACCGCTGGCGAAAAAATTCGAAGGGCAAATCTCGGCTGTTGACCAAAAATTGTGCGAAGGTCTGAACATCGTTGAACAGAAAGTTCCCATGATGAAACAGCCGCCGCAGCAGGTACATACTTATGGGAACCCCACTGCAAAAACTATAGCGTTTAAATGATCAGTGACATTTACAATCAGTAACAAATGAGTCCAGTTAATTTATTTATTATTCAACACTAGGTAAAATCTGAATAAATGATGGTGTTTTCACAGTTAGTTGCAAGGAAATACAAGTAAACTAATAAAGCGATTTGATTATGTATTAATAATATATTTTCATACTTTTATTTTATTGTTTTACTAACGATTTATTTATTTATTTTTCATTTATACATGACACGTGTTTAATGTACTATACTGTTACTTTTATAATTAAATTTACTGTTGTTTAGTAGACTAAACAACTACTGTTTGTTATATTAAATGTATAAATGAAATATTATTTATTATATAGCGTACGGGGTATTTTATTTATATTATTATTCAGAACGAAGATATTCACAAATTATAATATTAAGCACGTTATAAATGTTAACATATTATAATGTATCTGAAAAATAATATAATTGACGATTAGAAAACAATTGACAGTGTAAATAATATGTAGCTTTTATTGTAGATTTACGATGCGGCAAAAGCAGTAATGAGCAGTTCGTTGCAACCAACGATCGACAAACTGCATGCCGCAAAGGAATCCGCCACGCAACAGGCTTCTACACTCAAAGAAGTTAGTATAGCGAAGGCTAATGAATTGTTGAACACACAGTACGGTACTATGGCTGTGCAAGGGGTGGACAACAGCAGTGTCCTCATTAATGGTTTATTGGACCGTTATTTCCCACCAGTTGGGGGAGAACAGAATCCACCAGGTATAATTATAATAATTAATATTGCATACATTAGTTATCGGAAATCAATTAATACAATAATTGCTAGATGCTCCGAAATTACTATTTCAATGATTCATAAGAGAGAGAGAAGCTAAAATTATTTAAATATTTCTTCTTATTTTTAAATGTTAAAAATTGAATATTACAATTTGAGCAATTCGTTCATCTTATGAGCAATAGTTATCAATTTGTTTTACCATGTTACACAAATCCAAACTTCAATTAGATATAGATCAAGAAATATGAAGTCATAATCTTTATTATACATATATTACCANATTTTCAGTAAAATAAAAATTGAAACAAAGTGTAAAGATACAGTCATGTGGATAAAAATTAGTAAATAATATTTTAACTATAATACCGTTAACATTTTTATATTTTAGTAAAGAGAACCAAAAATGGGCTACTGTACAGTGTTCTACAAAATAAATAAAATTGATGATAACATAATCAACTAAATCAATGGGATAAGGGAAGGTGAAAATCAATAACGGACATCGTAATTCAAAATTCGAAAAACATGCGCGCCACTACTCAGTAGCTAAAATCACACAGAAAATACTTATAGCACTTCGACGGACAAAAGTTGAAACTTCTCGATAAAATTAATGCCATTCATCGATCACTAGATGACACCATGATGTTATTACTGGTTGCGACTTTATCTGCAGAGAAGGAAACTTCTTCTGCTACAAATGGTAAACGTGATGATTTTAAATTGATTGCTTTATATACTTGTTCCTCAAAATCTTTTCAATTTGTCAATTTCATTTGTCTTTGTTCATTTGCTACTAGGAAATGTGATATTTAATCTAGAGAAACTACCAATAAAATTAAACCGTTGAAAAGTATGTTGTAAATGTAAAATAATAATTCCCAAAATGCGTTGTCAAATAATTTTATTTGCTACGTTAAGTATATGTTATATAAAAATTTGTTAAATTGATATGTTGAGACGTGTTACAACGGGTTATTAAAATCGCATGAAATTCGTATAAAAATAAAAGTCACAGCTATCATTCTGGACAGGTTCTATTATTTCAGTTTTTCTCTTTCTTCTCGCAAGTTGGACCTTGTTCTTCTTTTTCGTCGTTTTGTTTCTCAGATAAACTCAAGAAATGCGTCAGGTGAAGAATGGATATAACGCTGTTGATGTACGACGTCACATCCTCCTTGCTGATTGTCTTCAACTGTGCTGCTACCGAATGGTAAACACGGTTCGCCGTCTTCGTCGATAATTGACCTATTGTTTGCACTGCATGCAGGACTTTGTTTTCGTCAGCAGATACTGGGGCTGCGACACAAGTTTTACAAATTAACTATCTATATTCTTCTTCAATCTTCTGCATTAAACATTAAAAATAATTAAATTACTATAGTATAATTTAAAAATTTTCATCCAAAAAGCAGCAAAAATTCCTCTAGAACTTTTAATATCATTATGCTAAGACCATCCAAAATAAATTAAATTAAACTATACTATAGTAATTTAATTTAATTTATTTTGGATGGTCTTAGCATAATGATATTAAAAGTTCTAGAGGAATTTTTGCTGCTTTTTGGATGAAAATAATTAAATTATACTATAGTAATTTAATTATTTTTAATGTTTAATGCAGAAGATTGAAGAAGAATATAGATAGTTAATTTGTAAAACTTGTGTCGCAGCCCCAGTATCTGCTGACGAAAACAAAGTCCTGCATGCAGTGCAAACAATAGGTCAATTATCGACGAAGACGGCGAACCGTGTTTACCATTCGGTAGCAGCACAGTTGAAGACAATCAGCAAGGAGGATGTGACGTCGTACATCAACAGCGTTATATCCATTCTTCACCTGACGCATTTCTTGAGTTTATCTGAGAAACAAAACGACGAAAAAGAAGAACAAGGTCCAACTTGCGAGAAGAAAGAGAAAAACTGAAATAATAGAACCTGTCCAGAATGATAGCTGTGACTTTTATTTTTATACGAATTTCATGCGATTTTAATAACCCGTTGTAACACGTCTCAACATATCAATTTAACAAATTTTTATATAACATATACTTAACGTAGCAAATAAAATTATTTGACAACGCATTTTGGGAATTATTATTTTACATTTACAACATACTTTTCAACGGTTTAATTTTATTGGTAGTTTCTCTAGATTAAATATCACATTTCCTAGTAGCAAATGAACAAAGACAAATGAAATTGACAAATTGAAAAGATTTTGAGGAACAAGTATATAAAGCAATCAATTTAAAATCATCACGTTTACCATTTGTAGCAGAAGAAGTTTCCTTCTCTGCAGATAAAGTCGCAACCAGTAATAACATCATGGTGTCATCTAGTGATCGATGAATGGCATTAATTTTATCGAGAAGTTTCAACTTTTGTCCGTCGAAGTGCTATAAGTATTTTCTGTGTGATTTTAGCTACTGAGTAGTGGCGCGCATGTTTTTCGAATTTTGAATTACGATGTCCGTTATTGATTTTCACCTTCCCTTATCCCATTGATTTAGTTGATTATGTTATCATCAATTTTATTTATTTTGTAGAACACTGTACAGTAGCCCATTTTTGGTTCTCTTTACTAAAATATAAAAATGTTAACGGTATTATAGTTAAAATATTATTTACTAATTTTTATCCACATGACTGTATCTTTACACTTTGTTTCAATTTTTATTTTACTGAAAATATAGCATTTGTAGTAACAATTTTATTAATGCTTTTGTAGTTTTATTATCCATTATTCTATGTGTCTAATTTTACCACATCTTCTTGATAAAACATTGCTGAAAACAAAACTCTTTTCTCATTTAATTATTATATTCAGGACATATGTATTTATTGGTAATTAAAACATTGGACTTGCAAGAAAGATTCTTTTTAAAATAATTAATTAACAATTGCTGTCGTTCGAACAGTTCTTACCATTACTGTATGCCAATTGCATTAATTATTTCAGTCACAATGCTACGCAGAAAATATAAACCACAATAGCGGGAACAAGATAGCGGTTGTAATTGAAAAGGTAATAGAAGTTGATGCAACAATAAAACTATTTTATTGATCATTATATATAATTTGTCGTTTACATAACCATTCCACGTGACATATCACGTGACTGTCCCTTCACAACGTTACACAGAAATATTCAATTTTAGCATGCAAAATTAATTCTCAAATAATCGTTGAAATACACCATCCCTTTTCTCATCGAATTCGATTGAAAATACGGCAATCCATGGTGCCTATAATTGTACACGCTTGTCAATTAAAAAATGGGCAAATTTTTATGGTTTCTAGGTATACTATTTTTGGCTTTTCTTAGTTGCAATAGTGATTTACGATTATCGCAATGGTGGGTCGTTTCGTTTATCGGTAGTTGAAACGAGAATAAACGTGCCGGTACTTTTATGGTGGACTGTACAGTCATACCACACGGCATGCCAACTGCAATGGAAATTTCCACTGAAGCAGTCGGTTGCCACCGTCTTGTAGACGCTTCGTAGCCGCGCCTAAAAACCAGGTTGCGTCCACCAAGAGGCTAAATCGAAAGCCATACTTGCCCTTTTCAAACGGTCCGCTTTGGTTCGGTTTTCCGGGACACCCGGTAATTTTAACCATCCACAGATTTTTCAAAATTCACAGTTGGCCGGTGCTGTCGACCGTCAATTTTTAAAATGCATCTACTCGCCTCTAGGCTCGACTATTACCACGAAAAGTTCATTTATTTGCCATTGATTTGACTGTCATTTTTCAACATTTGCTCGCGTTCCAAATTTGACTGCTGTTTTAAATAATTTATTTACTTAATTCTGGACTGGCCATTACTTCTCCGAATTTATTTGTTCAACTTTGGGCTGCACCATTACGTTTCTGAGTTCATTTATTTAACTCATGACTGAACTATTATTTCTTCGAATTGATTTGTTAATCCGTGGATACGAGTCTATTTTTAAAAATTTATTTATGTTCCTATGAATTCAACCATTGCCACTCGAACTCTATGCTTTCTTCTTTAAATTGAATTATTTATCTTAGAATTCGATCGTTATCTTTCCAAATTTCTTGCTCACTTCTAACTTCGTCTATTATTTTCCAAAATTTATTTATGTATCTTTGAGTTCGAAAATTTATTGTAATAAGAGTGGATTGTATACAAATACACTCACAAAACTGAATTTAAATTACATAAGTACACAATAATTATATTATGTTATGTTTAATAATATTCTATACTGCATCATTATTCTATACTAATCGTTATACTAAGTTTTATACTGCTTCATTCATATACTCTCAGATATTCAAGTATCGTTATATTAAATTGGGCGTTACAAGTCACCCGTCGTTCAGCGCGGGAAATTCAAACTCCGTGCACATAGTTTACAATGTATAAGCTATTTATGTAAAATGAAAAAAATGTTACTTGCACAGCATACGTTGGAAATCACTATGCTGCAGCATAGAGCAAGTATAAAATAGCTTCTGCATTGGCTATCAGTGATCCGATCGTATCAGTGACTCAGTACATTCTGCTTAAATCGCCGCAATGGATTTTCTTCGGAATGCGAATTTGCATTACACAATCGTGATTAATGTCTATAATTATCTGTCACGAAAATACAATAAATGTCGCATGTGTTAATCCCAGCAAATTAATTCCCAATTTAATTATGCGGGTACGGTACTGTGCTAATATTAGAGTCGATTTAACATTGCAGCTGTATTTGCATCAATTAAAACCGTTTCAGTAATGAAAGTAACGTTTTTAAATAGCATTTGAAAAATAAATATTGAAAAATCAATATTGGAAATTAAATATTTAAAACGTAAAAATCAATTTACATCATTGTACATATAGCCAAACATTGACTATGTCGAAAAATAATTTCATTAAATTAATAAAAATTGTAATTAATAACAATTATAATCAATAAAAATTGTAATTAATAAAAATTGAAATGAAAGAAAATATTTTTAAAAATTCCCATAGAATTAAACATGGATAATTTGCTCCAAATTTTGTACAATTGTAGTTACTGTACCACAACAAATTTGTTATATTTTGCTGTAAGAATAGGAGGGGATGAAGTATGCACATTTTGTGAAATGTATCGAAAACTAACTTTTGACCAAGACCAGATATCGATATACTACTTGAACCAAAATATTACAAAAAAATTAGAAAAAAATTCAAAAATTGAATAACGTACAATATTTTGTGCCCATTCGCTTTTTACATAAGTTCTTTTTGACGTTTCCTGCGTTTTTAACCTGCAACAAATAATTCAGAGTGGAAAATTTAAATAAAATCGTTCTATTTTTCAAAGTATACGTAATGATAGCAACATTTCCTGTCAAAATCATTTTTTTTCAAAATCTAATTCACTATACGAGCTGTATTGGTAATGACTAATGCTAAAATAAAAGGAGGAGGAAGGATATATGTTGGCGTTGATCTTCCAAGAAAAAAGCTGTAACAAAGAAAGGAACAATCGTTTGACAGCAGCAGCACTAAGTTCGAAAATTTCCACAAATGGAAATATTGCATACTGATAGCTGCTGATTCATGGTCGTGGCTAAATCTTATCAGCCATCTTGAGGGACCAAGCACTGAATAGCACTCGAAAGGAACGCCTACCATTTTGTTTTGCAGCGTATTTTCCATCCCAGTGACTTCCGCTGTCGTTTTACCGTGTTTCATAAGCGTCGATTGTTTCGATCGCTGATTTACACACGAGTGACCGTGCACCAATCACAACGATCGTGATTATCGCTCGAGACTTTGCTCAGATAAAATTGAAATTATTTGAAAATAATTTGCGAAATTTATTTGAAAATAATTTCCGAAATTATTTGAAAATAATTTGCGAAATTTATTTGAAAATAATTTCCGAAATTTATCTGGAAATAATTTGCGAAATTTATTTGAAAATAATTTTNTCGAAAATTTCCACAAATGGAAATATTGCATACTGATAGCTGCTGATTCATGGTCGTGGCTAAATCTTATCAGCCATCTTGAGGGACCAAGCACTGAATAGCACTCGAAAGGAACGCCTACCATTTTGTTTTGCAGCGTATTTTCCATCCCAGTGACTTCCGCTGTCGTTTTACCGTGTTTCATAAGCGTCGATTGTTTCGATCGCTGATTTACACACGAGTGACCGTGCACCAATCACAACGATCGTGATTATCGCTCGAGACTTTGCTCAGATAAAATTGAAATTATTTGAAAATAATTTGCGAAATTTATTTGAAAATAATTTCCGAAATTATTTGAAAATAATTTGCGAAATTTATTTGAAAATAATTTCCGAAATTTATCTGGAAATAATTTGCGAAATTTATTTGAAAATAATTTCCGAAATTTATCTGGAAATAATTTGCGAAATTTATTTGAAAATAATTTTCGAAATTGACTTGAATTATTATGTAGCCGTTCATACAAGAATCTTGTTGTATTAAACAATTGTTTAAATAATATTAATGCGACCAGGTGCACGCAACTAAAAATAAATAAATACCAGAAAGATTGCGTTTAGGATTGCAACGAAAATGAAACTGTTACGTTCGACATACTTGTACCACAAAGTTACTGGCTTTCACCAGAAAAAGTTTTACTTTCTACATTATAGAGAAGCGAATAGTCAAAGTGTATCGTAGCGGTAATTGGTAATTATAAAATAAACAGTAACTGAACAACGTTGAATGAAGATTGGCGTACTTGGGAGACAACCAAAATTAATTTAGCATGTTTGATGTATTATAGAAAATGATTGCAATATAATAAAATAATATACATATATAAATGTACTATAAATTTTCTTCGGTCTCGTACTTTGTTACCGTTGGAACCATGGTATTTCCTTTTTGCGAAATGTTGTAAATCATGTTAAAATTGTATCTTTTTGTAAAACTTTGTTTAATTGTTCGAAATGAAAAGTATAACTTACGATTCGCTCGATTGCTAGAATTCGAATTGAACGTTGTATTCGCTACGTCGCATTTTATCGAGAGCTTTGATGGACGACCATTTAATTTTTTATTACCGGAAACTTGTGGACATTTTACGTAATTTT